CAAAAACAGATCGTCCAAAAGCGGAGTTGTAAACGCATCCTTTCGGGCGCACTGAACTCTTCGTTTTCTCAATGGCACAAAGCCGGAAAGGATTTATTTTCAAATTATAGCCAGTACATGCAAAGACAAATCTTCCTCTGCATTTGGGCTTACTTTCACTTACTTTGACTTACTTTGACTTAGCCGTCGTAGCCGACCAAATAGGAATCTTGTCTCCTAGCCGGGGAGTTAAAGGTTCGATCCCGGCGGCTAGAAAGAATGGTTCTTTTTCCCATTATTATGGGTTGTTTTCTTTGATCTGGAGCGGCTACAATTGTTACTCAAACTTAGTTCTGTACTTCCCCAGTACTTGGCCCACTCAGAGCAGAGCCTGATTTCCAGGCTTATTCTAGACTTTCAGGCTATTCCTAGGCTTCCAGGCTATTCCTAGGCTTCCAGGTTATCCTTAGGTTTCTAGGCTATCCTTCCTAGGGTTCAATCCCGGCGGCTAGAAAGAATGGTTCTTTTTCCCATTATTATGGGTTTTTTCTTAACAACTTTTGAGTAATAGGGGTAATTAGGGGTAAAAATTTCCTCCGTTATGTTGTAATTCATTGTTCTTGTCGAATAAATATACTTTTTACTAAATAAATAGACAGAGCCTACTCTTGAGTGTTTCTCGGTTGTACTTTGAACTCGAAAACGCTTAAACAAACCCCTTTCTAGCGTAGTCGTTTTCTTCAAAGAAATAAAGAATTCAGTGCGTCAGATGGGGCGGGTTTTTCAAATGAAATTCGAGCACAAAGTACAGCTTAAACAAAAAGAAAAGTTCTACTTTCTATATCACAGATGAAAGAGTAAAATTCAAATTTCAAAATATAAATACTTTATTTAGAAAGAAATAAAGTGCGAAAATGACATGAAATGAAATGTATTAGATAAAAGATGACAAAGACACTTAAAATGCAACGAAATAGCCCTTCACGGAAATCAGACACGGTGGAGATCAAACGCAACTTGTCGGCAAGGGCATTCCAAACTTTAATCACACGATTTACAAAGCGCTAGTGGATTTTGAGGATTTTGAGAAAGCAGATTCGGGATGCAAGTTAGAAGAATGCAAGATCGAATGCAGATAAAGTCACTTAGAATGCAACGAAGTAGCCTGTAGCCCTTTTAAAATCAGACACGGTGGAGATCAAACGCAACTTGTCGGCAAGGGCATTCCAAACTTTAATCACACGATTTACAAAAAAAGCTCTAGAGGATTTAGAGAAAGCAGAATCGGGATGCAAGATAAAAGAGCCACGCGTAGCGCTAAGAGCTCGCCAAAAGCCTCGAGTTTAGCCTTGAGTTTAGCCTTGAGTTTAGCCGAAAACGATTTTTAAAAAGAGGATTTTGGATGTTTTCCTTTTAGAATTTTAAAGCACACAAAAGAAATCTTTTACTGAAAATCTTTTTCTTAATATTTTTTACTTAAAAATTCTCAATTTTTACTTCAATCTTTGTTGTTTTCAAATAAAAGAATTCTCTAGATTTTTTTTCTTAAAAAAAAGATATGCAATTTTCTTTCTCGTTTTTCCAAGAACTATTCACATTGTTTTATGAAAATTACAAGTTTGAAAGGAAAGAGAAAATTGTGATTTTAAAATGAAAATTTCTTTTTCTTAGAAATGTAAACACAAAAAGGGGAAAAAAATCAAGTACAATATTTAGAGAATTTTCAAAGATTCCAATAGAAAATTAACACCAAAAATCAACTAGAATACATTTTGGAAACAAAAAAAAGCCTGTAAAGAAACCTATTTTCATTTTCTTTATGCAAAAATTGCGTGTCCGGAGTTTTTGAGAGAGATTTTTTTGGGGTTTTTCATCATTTACATTTTCTCATTTGATTCAAGTGTTTTGCTATGGCTTTTATTGAGAAATTTTCGTGTTTTGAGAGACTTTTTTTAACATTGAACTTTACAAAACGCAAGAATTTTGTATTTTGTATTCTAAACCTATCGTACCTTGTGATTTAAAATGATTTTTTTAAATTGTTTTTGATCACTTCATATCTGTGATTGATTTTTCTTTTGAATTTGATGAAATGCGTTGATCCGGGTGTATCATGTTTTGAAGAAGTTTTTCTCTTGGATGATTGGTGGTTAGCTGAACCGACAGAAGAAAGTTATTATATTATATTGTAAAAAGAAAATTACAATCATTTTTGATAACAATAATAAATAATAAATGATCTGTGATTGATTTTTCTTTTGAATTTGATCAAATGCGTTCACAACTTTCATTTGAAGAACTTTGATTTGGATAGCGATTGATATTTGGATAGATTTTGATAGCGGTGGATAGCGTTACAGCTACCGTAACCCAGTTAGTTATGATCATTGTAAGATCAACTAGTTTAGAGATAGAAAATGCAAAGTCTAAGATCAAGTCATAAAGATCTGAGCCGGATTACGGTAACTGGAGTATGCTAGAGTATGTTGGAGTATGCTGGAGTATGCTGGAGTATGCTAGAGTATGTTGGAGTATGCTGGAGTATGCTGGAGTATGCTGGAGCATGTTGGAGTATGCTAGAGCATGTTGGAGTATGCTGGAGTATGTTGGAGTATGCTGAAGTATGCTGGAGCATGTCGGCATTTGGAAAAGTATTCTTTAACAAATTGTTTTGGATCACTTCTTTAGCTATGAACAAGCTGTGATCATTTTTTGTAATCTGTGACTGCAATCTGTGACTTTCTTTGATTCAAGAGCTTAGCTTCTAATTTAATTGAGAAATTTTCGTGTTTGGAAACTTCTGTTTTGTTCTGTTAGTTTCATTGTTTTAAATCTTTTCAAAGGGATCAAAACTCAGTTTTTCAAAGTATTCAATTGGGTGATTGAACTAAATTCATGAACCTTTCGCTGTTTATTGATTGAGCCAAAACATCAGAGGCTACATTTTTATCTCCAAGTTTTTTATGGCACATTTTTTGCTTACTCTTTTGACTCAACCAGTACTTTCTGTATTATATAATAAGTAATCATTTATTTATGATTAAATTAGAAAATTTATTAAAAGTAAGTTAAGTAAAAGTAAAAGTAAGTAAAAGTAAAAGTTGAGTAAAAGTAAAAGTAAAGTAAAAGTAAAATAAAAGTTAAAGTTAAGTAAGAGTTAAGTAACAGTTAAGTAAGAGTTAAAAATAAGTAAAGTAAAGGTAAAAGCTAAGTAAAAGTAAGAGTTAGATAAAAGTAAAAGCTAAGTAAAGGTAAAAGTCAAGTAAAAGTCTTGTACTAGATTCAAAAAGTGATAAATGAGTTTTCTAAAACGTATCAACTCTCAAAGCTATCGTAATCGTATCTCTTTTTATCCAATCTATATATTTTTATCTGTTTTTGTGAGAGTTCACAAAGATATCAAAGGATTTTTAAAGAATAGATAAAGCTAGAGAAAGATTACGGTAATCGAGAAAATAAATGTTTTAGAAAACGTCCAGAAGCAGGCCCAGGCTTTGAGTTAAAAACTAAAATTGAAAGCTAAAATTGAAAACTAGAATTAAAAGCTAGAAGTACATACAAAAACTTGAATTGAATACGTACTTGAATATTTGAATACTTGAATACTTGAATACTTGAATGATTTGAATTCAACTCTTCAAATTACTTGTATTCAAGTCTTCAACTTACTTGAATTCAAGTCTTTAACTTACGTGTATCCAACTCTTCAAATTGCTTGTATTCAAGTCTTCAACTTACTTGTATTCAAGTCTTTAACTTACGTGTATCCAACTCTTCAAATTACTTGTATTCAAGTCTTCAAATTACTTGTATTCAAGTCTTCAACTTACTTGAATTCAAGTCTTCAACTTACTTTAATCTTACTGTCAAAATCTTACTATCAAAATCTTACAAATGCTCTTTCTAATATATTGGGTTGGGAAGAATGAGTCGGCGCCGAACTTTAAAGGGAATTTTTGCACGCATAAAGCCTTCTTTAAACATACGTTTGGTTTCATCAAAAGGATCCACTATTTCTCTACAAAATCACTTTTGAGAGATTCCACAAAGCTTTTCTTTCGTGGAGTTTATGAACTTCGAAACAGAAACTTTATGAACAGCTGGTTAAAATGGCAAAGAGTCCGACTCATCATTTGAACAGTTTCTTTCACATAAACCTTCTTTGGTGTTTATATAAAAAAGATAGAGCACATTGAATTACTTAAGTTGCCAAATTTGCAGGAAGATCCCACCAATGGTTTTTTCTAGATCACAGTTTGTAGTTTTTGTGAAAAAATGGCTTTTTCTTGAGCGGAGGCGCTGTTTGAATTTTCTTTTAAATGTGATTTTGTAGAGAATTAGTTAACCATTCTATGAGTATCAAACGCATATTATTTGACGAAGTCGAATTCAAGTTTTAGACATTTTTTTCATTTTCGGCTCATTCTCCCCAACCCAATATCAAGAACAAGCTACAATATAGGCGTTTAGAAATGTCATTTTCCAAACCTCAAGGGATAATTTCAGTTCTCGAATCTTTCCCTTTCCATATTCATTTTTAATCATTCACCTTTCTTTTTCTTTTCTCATCTTTACATACATTTATTTTTTGATTTCTTGGCAAAAAGGAATTTCCCTGATGATTTGATCATTGGGAATTTTAAAAACGGGAAGATTTTTTACCTACTTTCACCCATTTATCAAATAACTTTTGATGTCTGTTGTAAGATCTTTTAAAATATTTTAAAATATTTTTGAATAATTTGCATTTTAAAAGGCTTAAAGATTACCGTAGTTATCGTATTTTCAATTTTTTCTTGTTTAATCTAGAAAAATTTTGCCCGAGTTTTATTTGATGACATGGCTACAGTGTCCTCAAACTCTAGTGTCCAGTCGTTTTGTGCCAAAGCCTAAGATTACGGAGCATACAATGGATGACTGCTTTTTCGTGACCTGAATACAGTGCCTAAACCTTTAGGATACTGTAGTTTTATGTTGAGGTTTAAGATTGCGGCAATGGGTTTAATATTTTTTTCAGTTCGATGGCAACAAATGATTATATTCCGCTTGATTTGGCCAATCTTCATCCACCGGATGAGAGTTTGTGTGAAGCGGCCGGGCAACTTGGTCTATTCACACTGTACTCGATACAGGTTAGTATAGGTAGGCTTAGGCTTAGGCTCAAGCTTAGACTCAAGCTTAGGCTCAAGCCTAGACTCAAGCCTAGGCTCAAGCTTCGGCTCAAGCTTAGGCTTAGAGAAATAGACATGGGCGCTAGAAACTACAAGGTCAGGCTACAAACACTTGTAGAAACGCGTAGAGTGGCTATTTTTAAAAACTAATTTTACCAAAAAATCGAGCCAACTTTAGGCTTTTGAATGACACTAAAATCAGGAAAATCTACCATTTGTACTTCGAGAACGAGCCATTTATAGCCGTTTGTAGTCTCGCTCTTTTGCATTTTAGAAGACGGATTGCCAAGAAAAAGCACTCTAGATTAGAGATAGCACTACAAACTACCAGATCACACTACAAACGCTTGTAGAAAAGCGTAGAATAGTTGATAGTTGATACGGTGATTTTCTAAAATAAATGCCTTTTAGAAAGCACATAGTTGAGAGGAAAAAGCCCTTTTTTGATGAAATTCACTTTGTGCTTGGTCCAGTAAACACACGCTTCCTGGTGCACTAAAGTCTTCCTTAAGCATAAATGAAAAGCAAAAAAAAGTGTGTTTCCAAGAGTACAAAGTCTTCTACACAGAAAAGATCAACTTTTCAGAACAATCTCAAAGTCTTTGTCAGTCTAACCGCAATGTTTTTGATTTTTTATTTCTTTAAGAAGAGAAAATTTCGAATTCATGACGAAACAAATGTAAGTTTTAAAAAAAAAATAAAAATCTCAAGTTTAAATGATTCTTTCAGAAATTGATTACTTTCAAAATGGGTCTCCTTTTTGTTTACGCTATGAACAATTGCATATCACATGTGAGTAACTACAGAACTACAAAGTAAACAATAAAGTAAACAATAAAGTAGCCTATAAAGTAAACTATAAAGTAACCTATAAAGTTAACAATAAAGTTAACAATAAAGTAAACAATAAAGTAACCTATAAAGTAAACTATAAAGTAAACTATAAAGTAAACAATAAAGTAAACAATAAAGTAAACTATAAAGTAAACAATAAAGTAAACTATAAAGTAAGCTATAAAGTAAGCTATAAAGTAAACAATAAAGTAACCTATAAAGTAAACTATAAAGTTAACAATAAAGTAAGCTATAAAGTAAGCTATAAAGTAAGCTATAAAGTAAGCTATAAAGTAAACTACAAAAACTTGTAGAAACGCATAGAATGGCTATTTTTAAAAACTTTTTTTACCAAAAAATTGAGCGAGCTTTAGGCTTTTGAGTAAATGAATTGTTTGTTTTTTTCTGAAAAGCTTGTTTGTTTGTTTTCTTTCTAATTCTTTTCCAATTCAGGGTCATCTCTTGGTGTTGAGAGTTTTCTTTGGCGGTCAACCATGTATGTTTGTTTTATCCGCGATCTATTGTCTACCACTGAAAATCATTCATGTGAGTTGTCTCGAATTGTCCGTTTGTCTGTTTGTCTGTTTGTCTGTTTGTCTGTTTGTCAGTTTGTCAGTTTGTCTGTCTCTTCTCGAGCGCTTGCTTTCTAAAAAGTGATCACTTTTGAAAACTACCATTATTCTTGCTAGTTTTTTTTCAACTTTATTTATTTTTTTGAATTCTATGATATCTTTTATTTAAAAGCTCAAAATTAAACCAAAAATAGATCACTTGGAGAAAAGATTATCATAGTTTTCAAGTATTCATGTGAGTCGGATTTACCTAAATTAGGATTTAAAATAAAGAGAAATCTTTGAGGATCATTTATCTAAAAACTGTTTACAAATTTTTGAATACGAATTAAACCAAATCCAACTACCGTAATCGAGTCTAAAACTCGATACCAGAGCTCTTTAAATCTTTAAAACCAGAAAATCTTTATCTCTGTTAATAGTTAATCTTACGGTAACCAACTGCTTGAAGTACAGTAGCCGAGTTACGCTTTAACACATTCACGACGAGGTTCTTTGAATTTTTGATTAAGTTCTTTCCTTCCAACTCGTCTAAAAACGTTCACACGCATCGGATTTACTTAAATTAGGAGTTAAAATAAAGAGAAATCTTTGAAGATCATTTATCTGAAAACTGTTTGAAAAATATTGACTTTAAAGAGAGTTATGAACCTTTGAATGCAGATCCTGGGTCACCGGTGACGGGTTTCTCATGCTAAAACATGCTGAACTTTCTTCAAACTCAATATTTCTTTAATCTGTTTTCAGATAAATCATCCTCAAACGTTTCTCTTCATTTTGAGCCTAAACTTAAGCAAATCAGTTAACTGTAAACGTTTTTAAACGAGCTGGAAGGGGAATAAATTACACAGAAATCAAAAAAAAGAAAGAAATTCTGAATGCAATATATTTGGTGGTCCGAAGATTTCAAATAGCTAAGGTTTTCTATAACTTCTTTTGACAATATCAATCTTTATAACGATTTTTTTCTCCAAAGGACACAGCGTCACGAATTTGATTAAATGGCCTTAAAATTTATTTTATTCTAAAATAAGAGAAAAAAGCTGGTATACTAGAATAAACTTGAAATGATCATCCGGTGTTGATTGGAGTGAGATATTGGATTGGAGGTCGATTGGAGATCGATATTGGATTGGAGATCGATATTGGATTGTAGATCGATTGGAGATCGATTGGAGATCGATATTGGATTGGAGATCGATTGGAAATCGATGTTGGATTGTAGATCGATTGGAGATCGATAAGATCCATTTGAAAATGTTTGTTTTGTTTTTGCGTCAACATCGGCTTCACAACAACCGTTTTTCCTTGGATCTCCTCTCTTTCAACTCGCATTCTTCACACAATTTGATGATGATTGATGATTTCTCTAAAGAAAAAGATAAACAAAAACAAATCTAGTTTAAGTCATTAAGCGATAAGTAAAATAATAAAGTCAAAAAGAAACTAACTTTGAAATGCTATAGTATCCTCTGCCTTTGCCACATCAAGTTTATTGTCCAAGTTTCAAAGAAACTTTTCCTTTAAGCTCAAATTCTGAGTGGTCAAAAACTACAGTTAAACCTCGATTTAACGATCTCAATTTTTCGTCCCTTGAAAGCTTTTTTGCCTTATAAAGACGTCGATTCAACGCTGGAGAATCCCGATCTCTTGAGAATCGTTAAAACGAGGTTTAACTGTATTTTAATACTTGCAAAAAGTAAAAGTTCGCGACTCAAAATAGAATTTCAGCTCTGCGTCTCGACTTGTCTCTCCACGACCCTTTTCATGATTCTTCTTGAGCGTGCCATTGTCGTCTTTTCTCAGCATCATTCCCCATTAAGCAATTCGGTGGCGAAAGGCTTCATTTTTCTTGAAGTTATTCAACTTTTTGACTTAAACATGGAACTTTAGCTTCTCGGCATGATCGGTATCACAAGTTGGGCTTTGTCTACAGAGCTTCGTTATGATTTTCAAGTTCTTCACTGTATGGAGGATACGCCAGTGAGTGGGCTGCTACGCCTAGCTGTGTATTAGACATGGGCACTACAAATTACAAGCGCAACTACAAGCGTAACTAAAAGCATAAACTATAAACACTTCTAAATTGCTTCAAATCTGCCGCATTGACATGATCTATAGCTCAAAAAAAAGAGAATCTCAAGAGCTTTCGAATCGACTAAAGCACACCGAAAGATATCTATGCTAAAGAAAGTTACAGTGGTTTATAGTAACGACTACGGTCCGTCCACTTCGACTATGGTCCGTCAGGCTACAAACCACTATAACTTTCTATAGCATTGATAGTTTTGAATGTGCTTTAAACCATTCGAAAGCTCTTGAAATCCTCTATTTTTTTTGAGCTATAGATCATGTTAATCCGGCAAATTGTTTAGACAAGCCTTCCACTAGTAAATTCGATGTCCGAATTTTGCATTGCCATCGACACGATCACCCTCATTTCGGCAATTCTTTTGGTGGTCTATTGTCGGCGGAGGATCAAGAAAAGGTGCTTCAATAATTTGTAAGTGAAAAGATGACAAAAAATACAACACTAAAAGCTCTATTCTTCATTTAAAAAAAGCACAAAAGCTTACGAATTGTGTTTTGACACCTTTTTCTAGGCATATCGATTCTCTGCACTACTCCTACTCATTGCGATATTCGGAGATCGTCTTGCAAGTGGGTTTAGACATGAATTTTAAGCTTTTTTTTTGGCGTAGAAAGTAGAAAATAGATTAGCTGAAAGATACGCTATAATACCCCTCATTGCTTACTTATTCAGGGTTTCCTCCCAATCATCATTTACCATACTCTTATCATCTATTTCTTCAACGGTTTTTCCCTTATTCAACGCGGTATGATTATCTCGGATTACGTCACTCGGAAGAGCATTCAGGGACTCGGAAATGTAAGACAGTTTTGTATTTAAAATTTGCACACAAATTAATTCAAACAAGTACGCTGAAAGGCAGTTTTCATGCGAAAACACTTGATTAAATATTTTTAATCTCTAGAGAATTTGTGTGTTTGCCAAAAAAAAGGCAAAAACTACGAGTTCAATTAGGAAAAAGTTTCGCAAATTGTACTTTCGAAAAGGACTGATTCATTGGAAATGTTAGGGAAATTTTCAGATTTTACCATATTACACATTGACATGTCCAATTTTGTACGTTTGGGTGTTGGGGAAGTTGAGAGAAAGGTGGGTTGGTGTTCTCAAAAGTGTACTTTTATGCTTGATTTACATCAAGTTTCTGCTGTAATGAATTTCATTTTTTTTATGGCTGGAGCTTGTGCTTTATGCTCGAAAAGGAAACGAATTTTTTCTAGTGCACTGAGTTCTTTATTTTTCTTGTAACACCAAATCAGAGACGTGGCCAGGATTGACTTTTTTGAAAAATTCAGCCTAACGGCCCGACTTCTTCGAGGCTACCGCCAATCAATTTCCGACTAAGGAATTATATTTTTTTAAAGATTTTAGACATGAATAATTGTTTTTACAAAACTAATTTAATGATTTTAAGAAAGTAGAGGAAATATTAGGGCCGACCAAAATAAAAAACGATTGGCCATCTAGTTTTCGACATTTTCGCAATAAAAAATTGAAAAAAAACTCAAAACAAGTGAAAATGGCCAACCTCAAATGCGAATTACGATGATTTTTCTTTCAATTTTTCAATTTTTCACTTTTAGACGAGGCTCCGAATTCTCGAAAAGTCAAAAGCCGAAACTCCACGGAAAAGTCGTCCCAATTGGCGAGGTTTATTATGAGAATTTGCGGATTTTGTGGACGAAATAGAATAAATAATTTATTATGAACATAAAATCCTATAAATGTAAATAAACCTACATAAATAGTGACGAATATAAGTGTTTCAAATTATTAATTTTTTGGGCGCTCAAGAGGTCCACAACCGGAAAGGAACATTGAAGTGATTAGAGAGAAAAAACAAAGGGAGCAGATTTATTTAAAGTTTAGCGGCTGGATTCCAATGACTTCTGGCTCAGTGGCTAGAGCGTTAGCCTGCAAGCCATCAGGCCGACATGGGACCAAAGTTCGAGTCCTCCTTCGGCCAACCTTTTTCATTTTTTCCACTAAATCTGGAAAAATCTGCTCAAAATCATTAAAAAGAAAAATTGAGATCTCCAATAAGCACAGGGTGAGGCGATATGGTACCAAACTATCGACAAAATAGGGGAAAATTGCAAAATCATTTAAAAAATGAAAGAATTGAGATCTTCTAAAGATATTCAGGCAATTCATACAGCAAAAAGGGCAGTGTTTATGCAAAGAAGAAAAGAGTCATATTTGTGAAAAAAAAAGACACCGCTTTTTATTTATAAGTGCTTAATGTATTGAGTG